ACAGGACAAGGTGCATCCTCAAAGACAAAACTAGAAATGCCTACCAAACATGTACATAACCGTGCTTATGTTCATTACAAAACCTTCTTATAATTTTTCTGTATAAATTGGATTGAAGAAGAGAGATAAATATATCTCAAACTATGATTGTGTAAGAAATTCAATGTATATAGGGGATAAAAACTGAAAAATTGAATGGAAAGCATAACCTAATAATTTTGTTCACAAATGATAAATTGTAACATAGAAATACTTAACTGGAAGGAAAAGGAAATTGTCAATGCCTTCATGCATTTAGAATAAAAAGAGCCAGCTTCTGTTATAATTTATTGTTTTTTGTGAATGCTGATGATAGTAAACATAGAACTAGAAACCAGCTAATCAAGCCCAACAAAATTAACTTATGTGATGTTTAGCACTCCAAGACACTTGCCATCTGATCAATATTATCAATTTAGATAAATGAAGTCAACATAAAATAATGTTTGTCAAACATTAACCCTAGCCACAAAGAAACTCCCTGGTCAGAACTGTATTTGTGGCTCCATGTGATTGTGGATGCAGCATCATCTAACCAAGTAAATGATAAAGAAGTTTATGCTCGCTCTCTCACACATACACATATATCCATATATATATGTGCGTGAATGCACTGTGCATATGCGTATATCTATATTTGTACATGAATACTTTTGAGCACCTATTTATGTGCAGTTAAAAGTTCCATATCAAAAAATAATAATTAAAAAAAAAAAATCAAGAAGTTGAAACCATTTCTTAAAGTCCCTCTAGTGTAAATGTGGCCCATGTTTAGTTTGCAACTTTGCATCGGACCCAATACAATGTCTCCCATACAACCATGCCCCATCAAGAGCTTCTCGCTACATGTCCAATGTTTTCCCTACTTAATTAAGATTTACTGAGTTGATGTGCCTGTATCATATTCACTGGCGGATCCAGGGGTGGGCTTGGGTGGGCTCAAGCCCACCCCAAAAAAAATAATAATAATAATTTACTATACCTAATTTTAGCCCAGCCCAAAAAAAAAAAATTATTACTACAATTAGCCGGCCCACCCCAAAAAAAATAATAATAATAATTTACTATACCTAATTTTAGCCCAGCCCAAAAAAAAAAAAAAAAATTATTACTACTATTAGCCCACCCCATTGACAGTTCCTAGATCCGCCTTTGATCATATTGCATTTGTTTTCTATTCCAGTGACTTTGACATGACCGCTTTTAGAAGAGCTTTAAGTACTTAATTGGCTACCAACGGTCACCTAGGAATATGCAAGTGGTTAATGCTCAAACTACGTGAAACAAAATTGACAAAAGCATTTTACTATTTAGTAAACAGGTCACCTTTGAAACAAAGTTTAGCAATATCTAACCAAATAATAGAAAAGTTCAACAAGATTTTAAAAAAAAAAGGGAAAAAAAGGTGATGTATAACGTACAAATTGAGAAGGATTCACACAAAAATTACAAGATTTTTTTTTTTCTCTTTTTTAAAATTACAAGATTTTTATTTATTTATTTACTGTTATAAGTAAAATTTCATTAAAAGGCAATTTGAAATGGAAAGGAACCCCGAAACAACAATACAAAGTAAGCTTTCCTAAGACATTCAAAGTAACCATCAAAGGTTGTAGTAAGTCAAGGGTTCAAATCCCCGCAGGGGTATGTGGGTGCGTCTGTTATGTGTCAGGATTTTAAAAATAAAAAATAAAATAAAATAAAAAAGGTAAGCTTTCATCCACAAAGTAATCAAACCAGCAGTCTAATAAAAGCAAAACTCTTGAACACTTCCACCTTAAAATGGAAATCAAAAATTAAAAACAGGTCAAACAAACACAAAAGCTAAACGATTATCAGCCAAAACAATCATAACAAAGATCATGGGGGCTCTGTGTGCATGTGTTATCAGTTATCCGTTCCTTTTTTTAGGCACTTACCCTTCTCAGTCCAGATTCTCCACGTTCACAAAGTCATAACTGGGTAAAGCATAGAGTTTTCTTTACCTATAAGTCTATCTATGATGTGAGATAGTCTAACTTTGCCACGAAATCTTGCACGAAGTCAAGGAAGAGTGGCTAATACAGTGAACTAGAGCTTCATTGCAAAACCATCCATCGAGGAGTTATGACCATCAATGTCATTTCCTAACTACTTTAGCTGCAACATTCTACACCCATTACCTAATACTTCAACTATTGTGTATTTGCAATGGAACAAAATTAATAGCGGCAACAAGCCGTCAAGTGAATCCATGTCAAGGATTCACAGTTTTAAAAGCAAAACCAATTAAACATAATTCAAAAGAAACTAGAATTTAAATCTTCATTAGCCAACTGAAAACTCCAAATAAAACAATCAGGCTGTTAACAATAGAGTTTATAATGCTAAAAAAATATATGGAATTATACTACTTCCTTATATATAAACTACAAATAAGATTAAACTCTAAAGCTTATAGAAAGAAAAGAAGGGTCACAATGTAATCACAAACACTAAATCTACAAAAGTCACTAATGTTTTTTCATTTTGTCAGCATATTATATATATGTGTGTGTGCGTGTGTATATATATATATTGATAAGTTATATTATAAACATAGTTATCAAAAAAGCGATTCTGAATCGTAGAATCGTACGATTCTACGATTCAGAACACAAAATCGAGTCAAATCTTATCAAAATCGATCAATTTGTAGAATCGGTAGAATAGCTGGTAGAATCATAGAATCGTACGATTCTACACGATTCTACCGATTCTACAATATTTGGTGTTTTGGGGCCTTTTGGGCTGGCCTTTATAGTGTTGGTCCTTTGGGCCGTTATTCTATTGGTTAATTTGGTTGTTTGGCCAGGCCTGACCCAAGTATAATATAGAAACAATATTTAATGATTTTATTCTATAAATTTTTTTTTTTGATAAGTAACTAATGATTTCATTCTATAAATTATAAAATAAAAATACAAAGCTAATTAGTCTATTACATACAGAAAGTCAGAAACAGGAACACCCACAGAAATATAGAAGTCACAAAGGTGAGAGGACTAAGAGGAGGCGGCACTGTATTGGCACAAAGAGAGCAGATCGGATCCATACAGCTTTGTCTAGGTATGTTCTACTCTTTTTCTTGCTTGATCCATCACTTGATCAGTTGATCCAATTTATTATTAGAGAAAGTTGAGAAACCCTAATTTTTTATTACAGAAACCCCTTTTCTTAAGAATCATCACTTGATCCATCACTTTTATATGCATATACAGCTATCTCTTGATTTCAAAATTCTTTTCTGTCAAACGCCCCCTGCCCAAAGAAAATTTGATTCATCCATTGGTTTTTTTTTTTTTTTTTATGAAAGTGAAAATTTTGCTCCTTTTGCAGATAATCAATTTTTCTCCACATTCAATTGTTCCAATTCTAGTAGTTGATTAACTTGATTCATCCATTGGTTTTTTTTTTTTTGGGTACTAAATTTTTATTATTTCTTTCTTGGAGTTTGTATTACAGTAGAGAAATTAGGGTTTTGATTTTTTATATCTTACACAAAATTATTAGATTAGGTTCTTGATTTTTTCTATGGAAATTAGGGACTTGATTTTTTATATCTTACACAAAATATATATATATATATATATATATATAGACACATGCTTATATGTATATGAAAATAAATTATTAATTAACAAACAAGCTGAAAAATATATAGACACATGCTTATATGTATATGAAAATAAATTATTAATTAACAAACAAGCTGAAAATATATATATATATATATATATATATATATATATATAATCATCATTAATTATATAGGTCATTACATTCCTGTATAATAGCTCTGATCTTTCTCCTTGTTCTTCAAACTTTTTAGGCCTTTGAATGGGCATTTGGTGTGCTGCCATCAATTTTATATGTATAACAGTATATCACAAATATTTAAATTATATGAATGTAAAACTTTTGATTGGTTGAATAACTTGAATTATATAAAATTATGAATATTGTTATAGATGTCATCAGCTGGAAGTTCTGGTAAAAGTATAAGAAAAAATGCTCCAGGACAAAGATTAGATCCGGGATGGGAACATGGGGTTGAGGATGGGACTTCAAAAAAAGTGAAGTGTCGGTATTGCAACTCATCTCATTATAGGGGTATTTATCGGCATAAACATCACTTTGGCTGGCACTCATTTAAATGTTGAGCCGTGTCCACAAGTGCCCGAAGAAGTAAGAAAACAATTTCAAAACCTTCTTCAAGCTCATACAGAGGAAAGTGAAAAGGAGAAAAAAAATTATATGATGTTGATATCGATGATGATGATGGTGAATGCATATCAAAGAAGCAGAAACAATGTGGTTCAATGGATGGATTTGTAACAAAGAAGTCAGCACGACAAACAACAATGAATGAGAAATTTAAAAAGGATGAGAGAGATGCAGTATGTCAAATCATAGCCTGATTTTTTTATACAAGTGCTATACCATTCAATTGTGTGAACAATCCCATATTTCCTCTTATGATTAAAAGGATTGGAGAGTATGGGAAAGGGCTTATTCCTCCTCCTTATCATGAAATTAAAGAGACATTCTTGAAGAAGGAAGTGCGTGAAACATTGAATATACTCGAGAATTTTAAAGGAGAATGGGTGAAGACTGGATGTACTATTATGTCAGATGGGTGGTCTGACAGGAGGAGATGTTCAATATGTAATTTTCTTGTCAATAGTCCATCAGGAACTATCTTTTTGTCATCTCGAGACACTTCTGATATTTCAAAAACTGGCCAAATGGTTTTTGAAATGTTAGATGAGATTGTGGAAAAAGTTGGAGAAGAAAATGTTGTACAAGTTGTGACTGATAATGCTTCTAACTACAAATTGGCTGGAGAGATGTTGATGGAAAAGAGGAAAAAGTTATTTTAGACACCTTGTGCCGCTCATTGCATTGATTTGATGTTGGAGGATTTTAAAAAAAAAATTGAGATGCATAGTGAGACAATTGAAGATGGAAGGAAGATTGTTTCATACATTTATTCGAGGTGTTTGCTTACCCATTGGATGAAGGAATTCACAAATGGCAAGGAGCTTATTAGACCTGCAGTGACGCGATTTGCCACTTCTTACTTAACTTTGCAGCGCCTTAATCAACTAAAAGGAGAATTGATAAATCTTTTTACATCCTCTAAGTGGAAGTCTAGTAAGTTTGCAAGGACACGGAACGGGAAAAGAATTGAAGGCGTGGCTTTAGACAATCGTAACTTCTGGACAAATGTTGCTAATTGTCTAAGAGCTCCAATACCTCTTGTTAAAGTACTCCGATTGGTGGATTCAAATGAGAGACCGACTATAGGATTCATTTATGAAGCAATAGATCGTGCCAAGGAGGAAATTCAAAAAAACTTCAATAACATCAAAAAGTGGTAAAGTTTTAATTTATTGTTTAGAACATAGTATTGTTTTTAAATATTTACACTGAAAATTACTAGACTTACATTAAATTAATGATTTTGCAGGTAAGAACCTATTTGGAAGATTATTGATGAAATTCATCAACCCTTGCACGCGACAGCATATTTTCTGAATCCCCAATTCCATTATAGTCCAAGTTTCCGTTTAGATGCAGAGGTGAAAATAGGGGTTTATAAATGTCTCCAAAGAATGGTTCCTGATTCTAATGAGAGAGTAAAAATTGATTGCCAAATGGACGCATTCAAAGCTGCAAGAGGGCTCTTTGGCATAGAAAATGCAATATTGACAAGGAACAAGAAGTCTCCAGGTTAGAAAATGCAATATTGATAATTGATAATTTATTATATTTTATAATTCAAATTTCAATTGAAAATTAAACAATTTTAAATTTAATGTTATAATTTTTTTAATATAATAGCTGAATGGTGGAATTCATATGGTGATGAGTGCCCCGAGTTAAAGCAGTTTGCAATTAGAATATTGAGTTTAACATGTAGCTCTTCGGGATGTGAAAGGAACTGGAGTGCCTTTGAGATGGTAAATTACCGAATAATGCATAGTTCTAAAATTTTAATAATGTTGTAATTTAATTTTAAGTTTTAACCTCATTGGCAATATATTTAGGTGCATTCAAAAAGGAGAAACCGGTTGCAACAAAAGAAATTGAATGATTTGGTATTTGTTATGTATAACATAAAATTGAGGGAGAGGCACGTGAAAAGACAAGCCATTGTAGAACCAATTTGTTTTGACGATGTCTCTTTCGATGATGAATGGATTACCGAAAAAGAGGATCCGGTTCTTCCAACAAAAACTAAATGGTTGAGGGTTCTTGATGACAAAGTTCAAGAAAGGATGACTAGGACACGTAAGAACTTAAACTTTAAACTTTTATTATAATATTGTATAAATTATTAAATTATATTAATTTTTTTTCTTTCTTTATGCTTTATAGTTGAGGAAATTTATGCAATTGATGATAATGAAGACGTGGAGCCATTAAATCCCGTTGATGATGCTAATGAGGAAGATGGTGATGATGAAGAGTTCAATGATGACTTTATGGATATGTAATTTTAGTTTCTAACTTTGGAGATGGATGAGTTAGAACTCTATGTTATTTTGAGCTACATTCTCTTTTATTTATATTTGGACTTTGGAATATTGTTAGGATTTGAGATTTGTGAACTAATGAATATGTAATATTGTGTGTTTTGACTTTATTTTGGTTATATTTTACAGATCTTATTGTTTAAGAAGTTAGCTTTAATTGTTTTTTCACAATTTGGTAGAATCTTATACGGAACCAAACACGATTCTAGAATCCCGATTTTAACAACCTTGATTATAAATATATAGATAGAGAGAGAGAAGAATTTCATCGAACATTAGAGCTGCAATCCAGGATGACTCCATATAACATTCAATTTCCCTTTGATCTGGTTATAAGCATTTGAATCCCAAAGATAATCTGGTATCACATACAGAAATTCCAAGCAAATGGAACAATCCAAAAAAACACAGGAGCCTAATAGCAGAAATAATCGATACAAAATAGAAAGTATGTATCTATAAAATAACATAACTCAACAAATCCATATCATGCTGACAACAGAATTAAACCAACATTACCTGAACATCTACAACGAAACCAATCGGTGATGTACCAGCGTCAAATGCAACATATTTGACGAACAGTACGATTGGCCGACCGTGAAGATTAGCTTATCGATCAAATAACTAGTTAATCAGTACAGCAATCAAAGTTGATTGATTAGCTTTAGGGTTAGGGTTCTGAAGCAGCTCAATAAGAGAGAGTTTTGTGTGCGCGCGAGAGGAGTGGCGTTGTGTGTGCGCGCGAGAGGAGTGGCGTTGTGTGTGTGTGTGAGAGAGAGAGAGAGAGAGTGCGTATTTCTGTGTGTGAGACGGAGAGGAGAGGCCAGGACGGTCAGGTCGTTAGGAAGCGGCTGGTTTTGTCCCGCCCGTGGGCCGTGTTGCAGGAGATTTTGTAAAATATGATTTAAATTTTTCTTTATTAAATTTAAAATTCAAAATAAAAACTACTGTGCCACATGGACACATCAACGGTGTAAAACACTAGTAAAGACGCATTAAAAAATATAAAAATAAGGACGAATTACAAAAAAATTCTCATGGACTATTATTAGCAAGTTGCGAAAATCCCTTATAAATTCTTCTCTTCGCAACTCCCTTATAAATTCTTCTCAACTATCCCATGGGTATTTTTAATTAATATCCGTTTAAGTGATTATTTGAGAAAAATAAGCAAGGTATGTGAAGCGGTAAAGAAAAATTATCAAAGAAAACTAAAAAAAAGAAAAAAAAACCAATAAAATCATATTTAAGTTATGTATAAATATTAAAATAAAATTGAGTACAACTGCACAGAAGAAAGATCCACCATGACGTTGGAATAGAAGATGGAAAAATATGTAACTCAAGAACTCCTTCGGTGCACTTGATCTTTAACAGCCATTATAACAATTAATTATTTTAAGGAAAATAATTAATAATTTGTCATGTTTACTTAGTTCAATTTATTTCTTTTCCTTAATTGAATTATGCTACTGCAAGGTAAGTTGGATTAAAATTGACAATTAAAAAGTAACATAATTTCTTTTTCAAATCTAATTTTTAAAAAAAAAAAAAAAAAAAAAATTTACTCACTTCGAGAACATGAAATACTCCAAAGTAACTCTTTGAGACGAAATTATTGTAGTTGATGCACTTAAGTTAAAAAACCAAAAAATATGAAAAATTTTAATGTGAAAGGACGTCATTGCCCTTATTCAATTCACAATAATCTAATTATAAAGGATATTTAAGTAATTTAGTTAGAGAGAAATACATTTATCATCTCATCATATAATGTTTTGATCCCACCACCTACTACTCGAAAATTGTTTTAATTCCACAATTGGGTTTCTCGATCTACTATTAGCTTTATGTTTGAAGGAATAAGAAGGCTTGCTTGACGCAGAGAGAAAAAATAAATAAATTGTCTGAAGAATAATCTGTTAAGGGGTAATTTCATCCAAACAAATTTCTCAGACAACTAATTAAACGGACATTAGTTAAAAACACCCACTTAAGATAGTTGAAGGGGATTTTTTTGCCAAAAGTATTCATAAGGGGGGTTTTTCACAACTAAGTAATAGTGAAAAGGATTTTATTGCAATTCGTCCATAAAAATAATTACAATTACTAATATCAAACCTTTGGTTTAAACATGTCATAAAGGTTGAAATTTTCACTATAGTTATAAGATTTTACACGTTTGCTCTAATACCAATTACAAAGCAAAAAAAGAAAAGAGAAACTTATATAGAGAAGAGATTACAAGGAGGGAGAAAGAAAGTTATATAACAACAAACTTCAGATGCCTGTTGCTTATAATGCTTCTGCTATAAACAGAAAAAATAAAAGTAACTTTTACTGTTCGATGAAGAGTAAAAGTGACTTTCACTGTTGATAAATAGTATCTGAATCTACCTTTTCACTATTGATGAATAGTATCTGAACGTACTTTTCACTGTTGATGAATAGTAGATTTAACTTGAATTTTGTCATGTGCTGGATAATTGTTGCAGTCGTTTGGTAAAAGTCTATGTCATCCTTCCATTGCATTAATGAGATTATGGAGTTCATACTCATCCAAAGGTGGAGTACTAACTGGACTTTGATTGAACTGATTTAGCCAATCAATGTCTATTTGTTCGACTCCCATAAGAATTGTCTTTGGGATGTTTAGTTTTAAATCTTTGATATTGTCAAGGAATTGTTAAGCTTCAACTAGTTGTTCTGCTGAATAATTTGGATAGTCAACTGGCAATTGTGTAACAAAAAGTCTTCTTCCATCATAAACCAAGAATGGTGCTTGAACGATATTTCTTACTGTGATGGCTTTGTCTTTTAAGCTCATTATGTTGTTGATAGCAAGATTGGTTGGTCCAAGTATTTTTGCCATCTCTCTTGAATTTAGCAATGTTTTATGCTCAAATTCATTTTCTTTTGTGGTTTTGAGAAACCAAATTTGGTATGACTGAAAGAATTTTGTCTTTTCTCGCCATCCAATGGAACTAGAGATTCAGAAAGTCATACTTCTACTCCATTTCCAGTAACAAGTAATTTTTAAGATCATTGATTTGATCATTGATGGAAAATACCTCTATGAATAAGTGTTATGAGATGAAAATATAACTTTGTTAGTTACACCCTAATCTATTTGTTCCATTGTCTATGGAAAACCACATTCAATGTATAGTGACAACTTTAGATAAGTATCACCATTGTATACCATGTTAAAATGATTTATTTCTTCATGATTATCAAGAAAAAAATTGTTTTATTGTTTGCTGATGATCATTTATTTTTAAAGAGATCAATCGAAAAATATCAAACGTAAAAAGGTCTCTTGCTTTTTCAAGAAGACAAATTCTTTTAATTTTTTCAAAAACTATAGTTAGAAAATCATTTTCAACTAGTTTTGCTAGTTTCAAAAACCAATTAATTTGAGATAGAGTAAAATCTTTTTCCCAATTGATTGTCATATATATTTGAATACAAAGTTGTTTGAGCTGTTCAATCATTGTTGTATGTTCAACTATTAGATTAGAGAGAGAACTTAGATGTTGTCTAAATTCTCTCTTATGATCAATGAGATGGGTTTTCCATGCTCCATTGATGTCATCATAGAAAATATTTGGAATTCCACAATTGTAGAAGTTTTTTACTCCAACAAGATCTGGAGTTTTTGAAAAAGATTTTTGTGAGACTTGACCTACTTTAAAAAAGACTTTTTTAGCTTCTTCAAATGTGTCATATTCCTTAAAGCATGCTCCATAATATTTGTTTATTTGAGTTTGACATTCATTCCATACACAAGGGCTCTTCCAATGATTGCACCATGAGACAACTTTTAATGAGCTGGAAATTAATTTAATTTGCACTTGAGAGGGTTCGATTGATCGAACCTATTCTGAGATCGATCGAACTTGGCTGAGATCTATTAAACTTTGGCTGGATCGATCCTCCTATAGCGGCGCCTTTTTGGATAAGGACAGATCTGAGATATTTTGGGGAAAGAGATGAAAGTGGTAGGTAGAGTGGTACAACAGGATAAGATGGAATCTTTTCGATCGATCTGAGAATTGTTGGATCGATAGAACTTTGTGGGATCTTTGGATAAGGACAAAAGAGCTTGGATCCATTTTGGAGAGTCTAGATCGATGAACTTTCGATCGATCGGAGTATTCTTGAGATCGATCGAACATGCTGATTTCCACACTTTGCTTCATTCTGCTTCCACTTTGCTCATTTCTTTCATCTAGCTTGAGTTTGCTTATTTTAAGCTCTTATTTGGCTGAATTAGCTTATTTTGGGGATAAGCACCTAAAAAGGACAATAACACGAAATTAATCTAAAACGGGAAAGTAAGATAGATAAATGTCCTAAAATACCTAAGCTTAAGGAATTTCAATGCGCACTTTTCAGCGCTCATCACACCCCCAAATTTAAATATTGCTAGTCCCTAGCAATGAACTATAAAGTAAAAGAATGAAATGAACAACTATACAACTATGAATCTAGAAAGCAATAAATGGACAATGCCATTTTTGTAGGGAACACGATTGCATTTAGCATATGCAACAAGCCTTTAAACCCCTAGGTTACCCCTAGTGGACGAGTGAAGCCTCTTGAGGGTTTCTAGAAATGATACCCACAAATATTAAGCTCATTCTCACCAAAGAGGTACCAATATTGCAAACAAGCATTGGGAGAAAACTACCTCAAGTATGCAATTTTTCAACGATTTCTAAGCAATCTCCCAAAATTTTAACATCAAACAATCAAGTATGGTCCTCCACACATCAAGAAAATGATCATGCAAATCAAAACAACACTAGAATCCTTTTTGAGTGGACCGTCATCAAATATGTTGCTAACTTAGCCAAATAAAGAAATGATCACATCCTTACCCTCAAACTAGCACACAAATCTAGTACCAATCATCAAAACAAAGAGTGGACCTTTTATTAAAGCTTTATTGATCTAGGTGCATTTATTCTTTTCACTCGATTTTTTTTTTTTTTTTCCCTATACTTGAGGATTAAAGATGGAAGTATGGTGCAATGTGTTGATCTATTAAGCTTTCTAGTGATCCATGAGGTCTAGCGTTTAGGTCAATGACTTCCAAACCGGACGGTTTTAGGGCACTAGGTGTTGAAACACCCCTAAGGACTTACAAACTCAAATCAACTAGGCTACAAATCAAAACAACCCCCATCTAATCATTTCCCACTTCTCACCTTTTGGGAGAAGTCCTCACTTTTTAATTGCTTTTACAACTTTTTCTTTTTTTTTTTTAGGTAGAATTCAATTATTAACCTAGAGTTTGGGCCTTCCACCTTTCGGCGCGAGAAGTTCAGTGCTTGATGAGGCTAGAATCCCGGCTACTCAATGAAAAGGGTTTGTTATCCACTTTTGTCAAGATGAAAGCTTTCAATGCACTACTAGCTTAATTGTGATATAACAAATTCAATAATCAACAAAGCATGTACCCCATAAATGAACGCTAGTGTGCGCCTATGCTAGTGTAGAATCCTAGAGTAAATCTCAAAACAATCACAAAATCAGGATGATATGGACCACAAGTCCAAGTAAGATATCAATCTTTTGAAAAATTTACTCCTAAATGGCATCCACAGGGCATACAAGGAGTATTGGACACTCAAGTTAAGTAATTTTTAAATTTTAAACAATATAGGCCTCAAAAGATCAAAATCATAGCTAACATCAATCTCAAATCTTAATCATGCATTTAAAGTCTTAACTTAAGTAGAATGCAACAAAGTAACCTTACCCCCAAACTTAAACTGCACATTGTCCTCAATGTGCAATAAGAACAATGAAAAAGATGGAAAGAGTATACTGTGGTGGTGAAGGACATGAAGCCCGGCAATGATCCAGTATG